TTAATTAAGAAACGTCAACTTAATTAATCCTATATGATTAGCCACTAACGACAAGCAAGCTTCCATCCATGTTGGACACCAAAGCAAATAAAGTTTCTCTTTTTCTCTCAGTTTCTTGCTTTCTAATGAGAAAGCCTCCTCATATATCTCCAACAACATCATCTTTTTTTCTTCATCTTTTGTATTGTTCTACATAACCCTCACATGCGCAGGAGCTACTGCATATATTATCTACTCTAACTGATGATAAAGTTGAAGTGAAGAAACAGTAGAGTTGAAGTAGCCAAGAAGCATATATGATATTATCCATGATAAAGTTGGGTCAAACTTTTCAGGTCAAACGTATACTGATAGAGCTTCTGTTGGGGAGAGGTGTAGGTGTGGTTGAATTTGTGGGTTTGGCTGGCAGTTTATGGGCCACCAGCTACGTACAGATAATGGCCGGCCGGTTTGCCTAAAGCTAGTTGCAGAAGGTGAGGTCTTTATTGAGAAATAGTAAGCCATAAATGTTGGGAGAAATTACAGGACACTCACTTCACTGATGAGAGAAAATGGCAAAGGGGACACGCACCAAGCAATTTGCAGCAGCATTTCAACAGTTAGATAGAAAGATATATAGATACCATTTCATTCTTGCTGCATTACTCGGAAGCCCAACATGCCCGCTATAGTGGCTAAAAGCATCAAGGATAAATTGTACTTGAGCAGAAGCCAAAAAGAATCAAAGGACTGGGTGGATGAGAGCAACCAAAAAAAAGAAATCACACCCAAGAACCGGGATCTGTTAGAGAGTAATATAAAATCCAACATAACCTTCTCCCAACGACTCGAGTTATTGGAACGCGACCGGTTCATCATGACATGGTATCAGAACTGGTTTAGCCAAGCGCGGTCGTGTATTCGAATCTCCACGACCTCCAATATTAACAGTTAATTAAAACGCCAGGTATTTTGATCGACTGTGCAAATAAACTTCAAGCCCGTGAGTTGGCTTTCGTTTGAGGAGGAGTGTTATAGAGAATGGTATAAAATTCAACATAAACAAACCCTTGCCGACATGCACCAGATCTGTTCAACAACAAAAAAAAGGGAGCTAGATTAGATCTGTAAGTGTTGAAGGGAAAAAAACAGAAGGCCCAAAGAGAAGAAGGGGATGGATGAGGCAGATCTGCAGGTGTGTTAAGCGCACCAGTAGTACGATCCATCGGTGGAGATGATCTGCAAAACCCTAATCCCCATTAACCCTAATCAACCCCAGAAAACCCTAGCTACGACAACAACGGAGAGGGATGGAGAGTGGAGCGACAGCTAGCATTTACTCCCCGCCACTAACTAGAGGCCAAAAGCTGGCCAAAGGAGGAAACCAGTAAGCAAAGTGAAAGACGATGGAGAGAAGAAGCTAGCTAGCTAGGCAACAGTAGAAGAGGAGAAGAGATCTGACGGCCCAGATGATGACATGAGAGCAAGAACCAAACAGATCAACACCACTGATTTAGATCAAACGCACAACCCAACATTATACACATCGATCCATCTTCCTCCACCAGCTGATGATGATATGATACAGAAGGAGGAGCACTCATATCCATCAGTAATAGTAGTCATCCTCTGCACTATAAAGCTATTGAAAATGACCCAAGCAATTCTCCCCCTTATTAAAATGTTTTTCTTTCTTTTCAAACCACATGATTATTTTTATTTTATTTTAGCTTTTGCTTTTGCCTTAACTAGTTGAATGTGTGGTAGAATAAAAAGTTTTTAATATTAGTTGAGACCTCACTTGAATAACCACCCTACTTTCCACAAATAAATAGACTGACGTGATTGTGGTTAGTGATGGCAATGGGGCGGGGAGGGTATCTCAATTTCCATGTCCCGCCCCACGCTACTACGATGCAGGGCGGGTAAAATCCGAGTGGATACAGGGCGGGATGGGTCGACCCACTCTTACATGTTATTCGAAAAAAATATAAGTAAATTTTACTTTTTACGATAAAACGAAGGGGAAAACACTCCAAGAATGAAAATAGTGATAATAGAATGGGTAATTGGGCCTAACAAGTTGAAAGATCGACTCTAACTAGTTGAAGAAAAGTCAAAATAGGATAAATATGTATAGATATTGTAAGAAATTGAGATAAAATTAGTCTAGAACGGGGCGGGACAGGGCGGGCCTGAAGTAGATACCCATGCCCCGCCTCACGCTACTGCGGGTCGGGGCGGATTGAAATTGTCATCACTAATTGTGGTGAGTGTGCAGCAGCCTATAAATATAGTTTAATTTAACCGGATAAAAACGGTGTAACATGATTCAAAAACTTATTCAGAAACGTGTTCTTCTCCGCTTTAATTTACACATTAATAAGCAAACATTGTCCCTTTCACTATGGTATATACATATACACATTAACTTACCATTCGCAGTATATACTTCCCCTATAGGCAGGCCACCACCCACCCAGATAATTTCTGGGTTTTTTTACAATGGCAGAAGAAGAAAATCACTAGCTATTTACTGTCTACTTCCGTACGTACGCATTCATGGAAAGGAATGGTAAAACCATAAATAAATGTTAGATAAGGGTCAAAGGACAAACAGTGACGAGAAATCCCTCCCCAAAAAAGATAAAAAGGGCAAAGGGACACACACACAAGCAAATGTAATTTGCAGCAGCACTCATCAGATTCAGATAGATAGAATAGATACATCTGCATCTGTACCATATTTCATTTCTCCCCCCTCTTCATCCTGCTGGCTGGTTGGCACGCCCAGCCACCATCTATTCCATTCCATTCATATATATGTTAGAAGAAGCATATATGTAATGTGGTTGTGGATGGTACTACTAGCTATTGGGACAAAGGACCCATTTGTTGAACATTGAAAGTATTAGGACTAGGATATATATAGGACCTAGATTATGGAATAGGATGGTTAAAGTAGTGATATGTAATTAATTAGGCAACACTGGAATTTAGTTAATACTAGGAATGGCACAATGGGGCAGGTCCGGAGCGGGTATCATGATACCCGTACTCGTCCCATGACAAGTCAGGTTCAGGTCGGGTAATTTATTATGGGTCGCAGGTCAGGACAGGTCGATCCAATATGGGTGTGCAATTTATATGGAAAACATTAGAAATATTCTTTTATTTCATTATAAGACCAAGAAAACAAATCATATTATGATAAATAATGTAGTAAAATTATTGGAGAAATTGCGGTTTCACTAATTTACAACTTTGTTATAGCTAAAATATGATGTAATAAAAGGAAAAATATGATGTAATAAAAGGAAAATCCTAAGTAATTTGACTAAGATTATATGTAATTTAGGCAAGAACGGGTCGAGAATGGAGCGGGTCAGGGCAGGTCGGGTCGCTGTGATCACTCATTCCTTCTCCAAAATAACAGGTCGGGAAAAACGGATCAGCTCGAAATTGTCATCCCTAGTTAACATTGCTTAACAGTCTTTCCCGCTCTCTTTCTTTCTTTCTCCTCTTCCTTTCATTAATTAGTCACCTTAGTATAAAACCCTTAGTCTAAACCCTTGTCTGAAACTTTGTCTGTGAAATTGATTCCTGATCAAGAAAGATCTCTCCTGCAATTGATAATCTAACATGGTATCAGAACTACTGTGAGCCGATATATTAGCTCAAAACTCTTGCTTCCACCCTCTTGATTTCAGTGTGTGTTCTACATGTCCTTTTGTATAGTAGTTCCTTTCGTCACAAATGTTCACTATTGTACCCAAAAAAAAATTGAAATCATGATCAACAAGCATGCCTAGTGCACAGTTTCAGTACAGTAGTGTGGAAGACCACATTCATTCCACATATATGCTGAATGGGACAAAAGTAGCCGCAATCCCGTTCTGTTAGTACCAACCAAATAACCTCCAGTTAATGACCTAGTGACGCTGACGGTGGTGCTTGATTATGAGTAAATCAAAGAAATCTAAAGTAATTAATCTTCATTAGTAATTTACACGTGTTTAGCTTTAGGGAGATGTTTTTTTACCAGCCTAATCTAGGGTTCAATGTTGGAAGTTAGATTAGATCTTAAAATGATTAAGCAACGGGATCTGCATTATTTGGAAGAAGAAGAAGATGGCCTGAAACTAGTCCAAACAATGGACCAGCTGGAAAAGCAATGTGAGAAACAATAGAATCAAGCAGCAGAACAAGGCAAAAGCCACTAAGTACTATTTGGATATGGATGGTGATATCGATTCCCTTCCCCAACCCCTATCCTCCACTCCAGCCACTAACTACACGATCCGGGGCGGAGCCAGAAATACGAATGAGGCGAGACGAGTTCGACTTGAATTGCGATAATAGAGGAGGAAGGCTAGAGCATTGATTACCTTCTATTCTATTTTTCTACATTTTTCTAAAATTTAGGTGTATTTTTGCTTATATATTTCAAAGCTGAGGAGGACTATTGTTAGAGTGTGGTATAAGGTCCAGTATAACCTTCTCCCAACAACTCGAGTTATTGGGACCAACTGGTTCATGACATGGTATCAGAGCCTTATGTGACCGAGAGGTCTTGTGTTCGAATCCTGGTAACCCCCATTTGTTAAACACATGGTATGTGGACCTGTGCAAACTTCAAGTACTTGTGGGTGGTTTTCGTTTGAGGAAGCGTGTTAGAGTGTGGTATAAGATCCAGTATAACCTTCTCCCAACAACTCGAGTTATTTATGACAACTATATCACTTAAGGGTGTGCAACGGTTTGGTCCGAACTTCGGTCAAACTCATAGACCATGCGGTCCAGAAACACAATTCGATCCGTTTTGGTCTGGTTCAAATGACAGTTTCACCCATTTTGCTTTAGTAATTATAAAAATTCATGGAACCACACCGGACCACATTACGTTCAGTTCGATATGATCTGATTCAAAAGTCGACTTGATCCGTACATGCAACCCTTATCTACAACCCCTTCTAACATCAACCTAGCTCTCCACCACTCTTGCAAAACCCCCCAAAAAAGAGAAAACCCTACCAAAGTCGAGAATAGGAAGGCAAACATCATCATAATTATCAGTACTTCCACACTACACACAAACACAAACACAGAAACGGCACATAGACCGTGGAATCGCAGGGGAAAGAAACCAAGCTGGCGTGACTGAGTCTGAGTGGGAGTGGCCAACTGTTGTATATCGTCTCCTTCCTTCCGCCTTTCCCAAACCTTTCCCCTTCTTAAATCTAATCTTTCCCAAACCAAACCAAACCAAACATCATAATCCAGCTAAAGCTAGCAAGCAAAAAAAAAAAAAAGCAAAGCTCGGAAAATGATGGAAGACGACCAGTACTACTTCTTCTACCCCAACTCCACCACCACCACAAACCAGATTCACACCGCTACCAAGCAGCAGCTTCACAGCGACATGCTCACCACCATCATCCACCACCAACAACAACAACAAGATCACCACCCGCTATTCCAGTACTCGCCACCTCCCTCTTCTCCTCTCCTCCTTCCCCTTCCTAATTACTACCACCACGCCGACATGGGATCTGGTGGCGGCGGCGACAGCAACACCATGATGAACAACATAGTTGACTTTACCAGCAGCTTCCTCCTTCACCACCACCACCCGAATCACCCTCCTCCAACTCATGATTCCACCACCGCGGTCTCAGAAACCCCTCATCCTCCTCCTCCTCCCCAACAGATGGAGAAGCCCAAGAACAACAAGTCGAAGAAGGCCGCGGCAGTTAACAACAGGAAGAGGTGCTGGAGAAGGGACAGGCACAGCAAGATCGAGACCGCCCAGGGCCCGCGAGACCGACGGATGAGGCTCTCCCTCAAGGTGGCCCGACCCTTCTTCGGCCTCCAGGACAAGCTCGGGTTCGACAAGCCTAGCAAGACCGTCGAGTGGCTGCTCAACCACTCCCGCCTCCACATCGACCACCTCTTCTCCTCCTCCTCCTCCTCCACCACACAACAACAAGCCGCCGAGATGGCCATGAAAATGAACTGCATGACCTCCTCCATCACCAATTGCACCACCACCACCACGACTCCAGCAGCCGCGGCAGCAGGCCTGGTAGAAGAGGGACTGGATAGCAGCAGCGTTGTTACGGAAGATCATCACCGGAACGATGACAAGGAGACGACGACGAGGAGGAGGAGATGCAGGAAGGAGGGCTCGAGTCCGCGGAAGGCTACGAAGATGATGATGATGAAGAAGAAGAAGGTGAAGAAGGGAATCTCATCGGTGGTGAGGAAGAGGGCTGCCGATGGTGATGTTGGGATGATGGCGACGAGGAGGGAGGCGAGGGAGAAGGCGAGGGAAAGAGCGAGGCAACGTACCAAAGACAAATTGCTCATCCTCTCCATCTGCAGATCTACTATTAATACTACTACCATGGCAAAAACTACTAGCTCCCCATTTCATCGCCAAGATCACGACCAGGTAGGGTATTCAGTTACTATAGATTGAGCCAGTCCGCGTTTCTATTCCCCTCCTGATGGAAATATCTTTGTACTAAGATCAGCTGCAGCAGCAAGAGCCGCAGCCGGAATTTCAGTCGTTCCACGGGCAATGGGATGCGGGGGCAGCTTACAATTACCACCTCCACCACCAACAGCTTCCACCAAGCTAGTTTGATTTAGTGAGTGAGTGGATATATATATATGGTTGGAAAAACTGCATGGGATCAAAGATTGATCATCATCATAACTGCATATATGTTTCCTGGTGAAATTCCTTTCCCTTAAATTACTTCCATGTATCCATCTGATCTATCTGTATCAATAATCTACTTCAGTCGATGTGTGTTGCTGGCTTTTTCTGATGTTCATCCCTCTCCTTATCTACTTACTACTTTTGTTTTCTTTCCTCTTAGCTACTTCTCCATTATATGTAGACGTGTCTTACTCTTTTCTTTGCCCTTCTTCTCTTCTTGGTCCCCGCCTAGCCCTTTCCAAGGACATTTGGTATTTGGTTTTGTTATGTAAAAGGAAAGCTTGAGTACTGTTTTTTTGGAGGATATTTATATGATGATTAATTCTTTCATCTCTCGAACATGTCTCGAAAGTTCTGAAATTTGCCTCTTAACCAACGATTTCAAAGAAATGTCTGCGACTTATTTGTTTGATTTAGAGTGAAACAACCAAATTCGATTTGTACCCTTCAGCTTCCCTTATGAAGTGAAATTTTAACTTGATATACCTTGTTCTTCCTTGATTAATGGATTTTTTTCTTCTTTTTTTGCGAGAGCATCCACTAACTTGTGTTGTCTCAGTAAATTGTTGTAGCATTAGGATTGAGACATTCTAGATCAGATAAACAAAATTTGATCCAAGATTAATTGCTTGGTTGACTGTCCATGAAGGAGTTAAGTATTTAGCTTCATTTGCTAGTTGTGCAATTTGTCAGAAACTGATTATTTTGGGACTTATTTTTTCGTTATTTATTATTCGGGATGTTTTTATGTATGTTGGCTATTTTGGGAACTCTTGGGGCTTAATTGATCAGGTTAATTATTCGGGTAGGTGTATGGAATTAGTCGGATTAATTATTTTGTATTAGAGGGGAATTGGAGGTTAAGCAATATCATAATAATTATTCCCTACAGTTATCCTCTCTCTCACCTAGCCGAACTCTCTCTCCCTCATACCTCAACCCTTGTCGTCGGCCTCCCTCCTCGGGAACCGACTTCTGCTTCTTCATCATCCCTATTCCCTATTCTTTCTCACCTAAATCACTAATTATCTTGTCAATCATGAACCCTAAAACCCACTTTTGGGCCTTAATGGGCCAGGTTAATTCTTCGGATAGGTGTAGGGAATTAATCGGATTATATATTTTGTATTAGAGGAGAATTGGAGGTTAAGCAATATCACAATAATTATTTTTTACAGTTAATCTCTCTCCGCCTAGCCAGACCCTCTCTCTCTCGACCCTTATCGTCGGCCTCCCTCCCCGAGAACCGTTCTACTTCTTCCTCATCCCAATTCCCTATTCTTTATCACTTAAATTCATAATTCTCTTGTCAATCGTGTATCATAAATATCACACCTGGATCCGTGTTCTTTCACAATTGTTCTTGATTTACATGCAATTACTCTTGAGGCAATGAAAATGCAAATTTTGAAGTGTTCTCCGTGTCATCGACACTTTCGATTCAATCATTGTCAATGAAACTTCTCAATCCTTCTTCTGAGTTCTGTCCTATAAAAAATTTAATAGTCTGCAATGCCTCGTAAATATTTAAAGGTTCTTTTTTCCAGCTCCAAAGTGTATTTTATTTTGTGTATGCTTAGATCTACTAGACAACATACTTGCTGCAAACATCAAACATGGTCTAGTGGTTGCTACGTAGAGTAATCTACCTACCAAACTTTCGAAAAAAAATCCATTCACCAACGTATAATCATATTCTTTTGACAAATTGTTATTTGCCTCGAACACTATATCTATCAATTTGCATTTATCCATCTTGAATCTCTTCAAGATGTCTTCATCATATTTCTTCTGGTAAACAAAGATTCATTCCTTTGTTTGCCCATGATTTCCATGCCCAAAATGTAATTCCTTTCTCAAGGTCTGACAACACTAACTCATTCTTATGCCATCCGTGATGTTTTGGCTTTATTCCTAATTATTCCATGTGATAAGTAAATCTTACACGTGTAGGGAAACAATCAGCAGATCTTAAGAGATTAAGCGAGTTATTAGTTTTTGTGAGAAGTAAATCATACATGTTTTGCATTTGTTGATGGATCCATTGAAATTTAGTCTTGTCCAATAAAACCATTTGACACTAATGATTTTCTTTTGCCCCAAATTAAATTTTTCTCGACCATCTTATTATTACACTCACGGTCAATGCCCCAATCTTATTATCAAGCTTCTGCGGTGTGACATTCTGAAAAAAGATAACTTGTTACTTGTACTTCTTCTATGAGATTGGTTTGCTGTTGCTGGGAAGGTGGATCTTATCTCTACTGTTTGAAACTGCACATTTTTTCGATGTTCTCTTCTCCATCCTTTAGCAGAAATTGTATTGATTTTATTTTTTATCCAACAATCTTTCTATATATTGCTAGATTTGTTGCAAGCTCCACCTGGTGGGAATTTTTCCACCAAGATTGTTTTTCACTCACTTGACTCTGTCACTTTCCTCTTTGTGATCTATGTTGTTTTCTTGTTTGGAAAGCTTTTTAACGGTTCCTTCCTCTCCTCTTTATTGCTCGTGCAACTTCAAAGAAGTAATAAGTTCTTGAAATTCCAATATAGCACATCTTTCGATTCTTTTGTTGTTGTCAGTTGTCACGGTAAATATGAATCTCTCAAACAACTTATTGAGTATCTTCTTCACGATCTTCTGATTTTGCATAAATTCTTTGTAAATGGTTGCACATTTTTCATATTCTAGATAATTAGTCCTTCAACATCCCTATCTCCTCAATGTTTAAATTTTGGTAGACTAGATTTTGAGACATGTGTGTATATGAAGGTGATAGCCTTCATATTTTTTTTTTATGCAACTTCTTGATGTTCATTTTGTTGGGTTTCATTCTCTTTCAGAGCATTGTGACCCTTTCAATGAACTTTCACATACATTTGCCATTAAATAAAACTGCGTTCATTTTTACTGCCCAATATTCATAATTTTCTCCATCTGATGGTGAAGATAACTTAGATAAGGATTAAGGAAGCACTTAATGAAGTACATGTCTGGTCTTAAGCTAGTTAGGATTTTTTAAGGTAAATAGCTTTGTTTGCACGAGAAGGTAGTTTTTTATTTTTTTGCGGAAGTTATTTTCACATTAATAACACACCCAGCTTGGACTCTGATACCTTACTGAAGGTAATTTTTTGCGGAACCATAAATCACAACCTTTTGTCATGGTTTGAAAATGTTCATGGTTAGAGTAGTCAATTGGGTACTAAATTAATGAATTATATACCAATTTTTTTAATTTTTAGAAACCGGATCGGATAATAAATCGCAACAAAAAATTAGTAATTTTTTGTTCAAAGAATAAACGTCGATAGAATCATACATGTGCGAATAACCAAAACTTAGTACTACCATAGTACCTTGTTTGAGAGGGTAAAAAAAGAAAATAAGGCTGAATCAGGACGGGCTTTAAGCCCAATGGGTCCCCTTGTTTCAGCCTGTTTATTAGTATGCGTGGTGGGTAGCCCAAATCCAGTTACATCGAATGGAAGCCCACAGACAACAGCGTATATCTAACTATCGTCACCGCTAAACATTTTTTTTTTTATCATATTCATCACTTAATTTCAACACAAAACTAATATTTTGATTTAACACTAACAAAATAAGGTACGTACCTTAACTATCCGCGGCCATGCACTATTACGTTTACGGCGAGAGGTTTGGTTTTCTTGCTAGCTGGATACTGGATTTGGCTCTGCTTTTGTGAATGGATGAAAGCACAAGGAGAAGAGGAAGCAGGTGGAGTTAATAATGGAGAGATTACGCCGACCGACGAGACGAGATCGGCCGAGGAAAAGCTGGTGATGAAATTGGTGTATCTGCAAGGAGATTGTATACAAAAGGCCAGAGACGGATTGAGAGAGAGAGAGAGAGAGAGCACGAGTATGTGGAAATGCAGCAAAGCAAATGAAGTATATATTTCCTGCCTTCTCCTTTCACTTTTTTTTTTTTTTTTTTTTTGTTATGGTGTGGGCCGGACACTCGATATGGATCCAATCTTAAGATTATATCTCACAAAAGAAGATCACCCAAGTTTGACTCCAAGGGTGATCATTAAAGACGAGTAGCTACTTAGGCTAGCTAGGCTCCGAGACAAAAGTTAGGACCTATTCAACTGAAACTTTTCTTGGAAAAAAAAATGCAATTATATATAGAGGGTTTTGTTAACCGTTGATGTTTCTGATCTATATAAAAAAAAAAAATTGCGTCTACTTTATGAGGTTTCTGGATTGTTTTACAAAACGTGTGGTTTAAATTTGGCAACAAGTCGTTGGTATTCTGCGTAATTTCTACTGGGCATCTACGTTCATATTCAGCATGGAATTGTGTACGTTACGTACAATATTAATTATTATGTGATTAAAGGCTTTTATATATGCATGTGGTTATCGATGTATGGCATACGACTCGGCGCATAATATTATCCGTTCTTAATTACTCTTTGGATGTAATTTATCAAAATTGCGGGTTATTATTTTGTTAATTAAATTAATCTTATGATTTGGGTAGAGATTGGGGTTCACCAAATACAGATCCGTGTAAAGTATCATGTCTCAAATTTTTTAATTAATTTATGTTCAAAATAATTAAATTCATTAGGCGTACAATAAGACTAGGATAAGTTAGGCGTATGATAGAGTTTAAGATGTGGCGTTTAGAGAATTAGGAGCAGAAATTTACTCAATTTTACTCATTAGCGATTGGGTATCGTACCATGTCCCAAAATTAAATCCAATTATCACAACATTTTTAGATAATGTTTTTTTTTTTTTACTAAAGGCTAGCTACCATATATATTATTGATATTATTATTATTGACTATAATTATTAAATAATGCGTATAGAATGCATGTAATGCAGAATGTGCAGGTTGTTGGTCCGTTGGTGCATGCAACGAATTAAAATTAAATCGGCAAAACATAGTACGTAGATGATATACGTTCGTAGGTTAGGACAAATGTTTCAGCTTGTACTTAAATCATCATCATCATCATCATATATGTCATTATTAAAAAAAAAAAATGGTGGCTAACTTAACGAAGCAAAACATCCCTGTTTGTGCTTGGCTTGATTTGGGAATTTTACCGTTTCATGCATATATTTCCATATACATAACATTCTTTTGTCTACCCGTTAACGCGTTTATTCACTGGATAAACAGACTTAAAACCAGATCAAAACACAAAGAACAGAGGAAAAGGAAGCTGACCCGTTGGGTTGAACCATTGGGTTCTTGGGTTCACTGTTGGGTCTATGAAATGTCCACTGTTTAATAGCAGTAGCAGAACCATAATATAGCAGCAGTACTAGAACTGCAGCATGTCAGCAAGAAACCAGGACCAAAAATCACCATCACCATCACCTAGATTGCTGCCCTGTTTTAACGTACGGCGGGCTAGAATAATATGAACTAATATGAAGTCGTCAATCGTTCGGCGTCAAATTGAGATGACATGCTCAACAGTCCCAGGCCTAGTGAGTCCCTTAGCCATTAGCCTATATTCTACATAGAGGGAGCAGCAGGATCCCCACAAGATCTCACCCATCTTTCAAACCAGCAGAAGAAACAAAGAAAAGAAGGCAGCTATGCAAATTTGTCCCCCATCTCCTTCATAAATCTCCCCACTTCTCTTCCATGGTATTAGTAGCTCTAGGCTCACTAGTCTAGTATTCTACTATCAACTTCTATAACGTGCATATATGGCTATATTATTGGGTCCTGAGGATTCTGAGCATAAAAGATATAACCTGAGGTAGGTAAGCGAGACAGAAAAATGGAACAATAAACTACTTCATCTGCAACTTTGGGAGCTTCAAACATTGCAGCTTCGGTGTCATGCTGTTTCAAGATCTCTATTTCAGGAGGCTTTGTTTCTGTATTATCAGTGATCAGAGCTGCAAATATATATATGTTTCTGTTCACTGCAAGTTTTAGCATCACCAACGCACAATGTTTCGTCTCAAGGAACGGGAAAAAAGCATAACAAGACACGGTTCAATTTTCTGGCTCGAAGCAGAGCGACCAGTGTTGCATGAATCCAATGGGACCTTGGTCCTTCGAGCACTTGAAGCAGAGCGACCAGTGTTGCAGTACTAACTTCATACTCCGGAATTAGATCCATCCCATATCTGGCATAACTTAGAGCATGTGCACCAAGTTTCATGTGGCCTGTGATGAATTATAGGAAGTTGAGCAAATGCAAGGTCCGCGGGGGAAATCCACAAATTAACTGTGCAAAGAAGCAAAACATTTCCAGGAGACCAAGTATTATATATCCAGTCTTAAAGGATGGTTCTTCCTCTAAATATTTTATAAATAATGATAACGCTGAATCGATGCCTCTGCAGTTGAATTCTAAATCAAGCAGGCATCCAACAAACAGATGAGCTACTCGGATATGACTCAAGCAGAGGAGAACATTCTACATTAAACAGTTTAACCTCTGAAAACCTGAAAATCGTAGTAGAATTGACATCTAATTCATCGTTATAAATTGACACACGCGCGATCATTAACAAGTATCCTCATTAGCAAGCAACCACTCTGCAACAATAATAGAGCCATACAACTTTTGTCGATCACTCGGATACACTCAATCAATAAGAACACATACAAGCTTACCATCAGTTGGTTCTTCTGGAGCAATATACATCCCAAACCACCTTCCTAGCAAGTGCAAAAGATAGTTTGATGCATGTGTTTATGGTCTGAAAAGAGAAAATGGAACTTTATCAGCATCATCAAAGGAAAATCAAGCAAATTTCGAGATTGATGCCACAAGGAATGACCATGCACATTACATGCTAAGGGCATGCAGGGTGATATTCACCTTACATGTCATTTATGAATTGTCAGGATTGAGGTTTACATACCGAGGCTTTCGCTCAAAGTGGCTCGCCCCTTCTTCGGGCTTCAGGACACACTCAGGTTCGACAAACCAAGCAAGACCGTGGAGTGGCACTGCCAAAGGCACTATTTTCAGCAACACAAACAGGTTCATACAGTTTTTTTTTATATATATCCATCTCACTAATCTCACTGTGTATAGTAAGCTTCCCACAATAACGGCTACAAGATTTTGGGCAACCGTGAACTCCAGATTATAACTGCGACCAAAACAGCATAATTACCAGTTGAATTGACTGGTTGTGACCTTCTCATCTATAAATTTAAAAGGAACACAATATCCAGGTGTGCAGCACACCATCTTTAACATAAATACTCGTCTCCATTTTCTCTACCCAGTAGTTGATACCGATCAATTTCACATTCTGCATCCAACATCCACCTACATGAGAAGCAAAAGATGTGAACCCCATTACGACAACTCAAGCACAAACCAGAGTACAGCACTAGAACAACACTAAATCAGTGAAAAAAATTATGTCAAAGATCAGACAGCCCCATTAGATAAACAAATTCATATCAACTTCACATAAGAGGGATATTCGCAGCTCCACTTCATGGTGTATGACTCCTATGCTCCCAAATAAGATGTTTCAATGCCGCCTATGTAGCCATACCACATATCAAATCCAAAAATGGTTCAGTCCATTATTTTCAAGTGAACCAAAGCAAAGAAGGCTTTTCATCCAACAAGTTGTATCACTGACACGGTCAAGATGATGGTAACTTGGAAATAATTCCCATTTGGTAACAAAATAGATGAAGTGAGCAAACAGCGGGGTGTCTCAAGAAGAACAAATGCAGGATATGCACAAGCAGAGACAATTGAGCAGGGGGGCAAAATGAAGAAAGAGTCAATCATGGTAATCAAGGACAAACGTCAAACGGAACTCAGAAGGACAACTCCAATGGTAAAGAGTAACCTGCTGCTTGGCTTCCGCCGGAGGACTGCAACCCATGATCAGAATTAAGTTGCTCACGCTCAATTGCCGCCCTGTAAGCTTTGCAACTGTTGATAAGTAGACTAGGAACCGAGTAGGAGGTGCAAGCAGCATCAGCAGCAGAGCTAGGATCCGACAGTGAAAATCCATCTCTTCTCATTGTCCACATTTTGCTGATGTGGGTAGTATACGAACTCAGTAGGCTCCCCCGTCCACATGAACACTCTCAATACCCCAATTCCCGGCATAAAGCCCCGCAATGCCTCTGCCGAACAGCGATTTCCAGCTCCGTAAAGCTGCAGTTCCAACGAAAATTCAAGTTAAATCATTGCTGAAAGTAACCAAAACACCAATTAACCAGCTCGGAATCGGGCGGCGAGACTACAGGAAGAGAGGGGGAAACCTTCAAGATAGCAAATATGCTCACAGGTCACAAGCCCATTGAGTAGATACTCATAGGGGCAGATGGCAGCCCACGTCTCTTTGGACCGGAAAGCGGGGCCCACAAATTCAAAAAAAAAAAAAAAATTCAAAAGTTTCATTTTCCCATATCCCTTTTCTCTCTCGATCACTTTGTGGTTTCCATATTTTCTCACTCTCTCCAAAAACTTTATGTTTCCTCTTTCTCTCTAGTTTCTTCTTCTCCCGAAAACCACCACAAAACCTCTCCGTTGAGGGTTGCGAGGAAGAAGACGAAGGCAACCAAGAGGATGTTGTTGAGGTAGGCGGCCATTATCTCTTTCTTGATTCATTGGTTCGAAGTTAGGGTTTCATGGATTCAACTCTCGGGGTCCTGGGTATGTGGGATTCTGGGTTTTGTTTGTTGATTTGTTAAATTAGGATTCATGGGATTTGATTTTGGGGGTTCTGGATTTTGTCTTTTCCGATTGCTAGATTTAGGGTTTCATGGATTCGAATATGGGTTTTTGGATATCATTTAACTCACTTTGGATTCAAGTAGTAGTTGTTGAAGATACTAGTTTGTTAAAATAGATGAAACTGGTGAATATGGGTTTCTGGATATCCTTTAACTAACTTCATATTCAAATAGTATTGAATGTCGATACTAGTTGGTTAAAATGGATGAATACTGGTTCTTTTATGTATGGATATTATTTATGACACTTTGGATACTAGTACTATCATGTAACGATATCAGTTCTTTTACTGGGGATATTGTTCTGTGCATTATGGATATTAGTCTGGGTTGTTTATATGCCTAAATATCTTCTATATTTCTGTAACTGTCTTTCCGGACATTTGCAGGATGATAGGATCCAAAATGAGTGCGAAGAGAGCTCGTTCTGGAGAAGGATTAACATATCTGCCTATTGAAGAACCAAAACATGTTAAGCAAGAAGATGGGGAAGAAGAAACCCCTGGAGCATATGATGAGCAAGATTCGAGCTCGTACTTCAAACTCCGTTGCCACACCTATTCCCTACTCAAGGTCATAGAGTACTGGAAGAAGGATGATGACTACTATGCAGCTTGCAAGCAAGAAGTCGAGAAGGCCGGGTTTGGTGGTCTATTGGACCTTCGAATGCCGACAATTAACAAAACCTTGTTGGACGATTTGATGGCTGCTTATGATTGCTCAACCGATAGCTTCATTTTCGGTGAAGGAGACAATAAGATAGTGTTGACCATCACACCTGAGGATGTGGCACGCGTATACGGGCTTCCTATTGGTGGGGCTGAGATTGTGGTCAAGAGATGTGAGGAGAAGATGCGCAAAAGTTTCCAAGAGGAGGTCGGCATGGCAGGCAACCGGAGCCGCAATGTTTGTCTGAAGAAGCTGGCTAACACGGCCACTCCAGCAGAAGGTGATAGACCACCTGTTGCAATGGCTGTGAAGCAGTTCTTGTTGTTGGCAACTGGTTCTTTGCTAGCTCCAACATTTGCTCGCATCTGTAAGCTGGACTTTGCTGAGTACTTGTGTGGGAGGGTGGAAGACATTGCGGTGTATAATTGGAGTGCTTATGTTGTACGTGAACTGAAGGTGAAGTTGGCCGCTGCCAAGAGAAAAGAACCTGCTGCTAGGGCTGTGGGCAAAAAGAACTTGTGGGTTCTTGGGGATGTCCACTTCTTGCTAGTAAGTTATAAGTTGTGTATTGTTTTATTTTGTTCGAGTTTTTTTTATATCATTTAACTCACTTCGAATACAGTTAGAAATGATTGTCGATACTTGTTGGTTGAATTCCATGAAAGCTGGTGAATATAGAATTCGGATATCATTTATCTCACTTCGGATAAAATTAGTTGTGAATGTGATACTAGTTTATTAAATTGGATCATTGGTCACATAGAGATACAAGTTGACTTGCTTAAGATGCACTTTTTGTTTACCAAATACTAGTTGGATATATTGGTTGAATACTAGTATTTTGAAATAACAAAAATTTTATATACTGTATTAACATTTATAAAAAAAAAATTGTTACAGCTCCATTTGCTAGACTTCCTTAGTGTGCGCGGGTTGCACACCAAAACCATTCCTAGCTGCAACTACTGGTGGAAGCAAAGGGTGGAGAAGGCATGTCTAGCTGTTCCCAAGATTGACGGAGAAAGATATGACTTGGCTGTCGTGTTGCTGAGTAGGGAAGAAGTCACCTCCCGCTCCGAGAAACAGGACCCAAAGCTAGTTGAGGGTACTATTGCACCAGCACCAGGGGCGAGCAGTTTAGCTCCTACACCATTACACATCACAGAATGGTGGGAGACTGAAGATTTAACCATCCTTAGCATAGACCAGGTATGTAGATTTTTTCTTTGTTACTCATGATATTGGGTTGGTAGACTTGGTTGCATATAGTAACCTAAATGTTTTACAACATATTTGTAGCTTAAGGGATTGATGTCAATGACTGAGAGCGTGATTCAAAAGTGGGTGGCTCGGAGGGACAAGGTCCAACAGATTGTCAAGAATTTGGGCCAGCAAAACAACATTTGAAGTGGTTGTACTTTTCCTTAATGGAGTTTTGTAATAGCCATGTTGGAATGGCTTTGAATACTAGTTGTATCGCGGTTTGCCGAAAAACAACTTTGTGTTATTGTGAATTTTAGTTTGTTATTATGCAATATTAGTTGGTTTCATGTTGGAAATTGTTTAGCAGTCATGAATACTAGTTAGTTTTATCATGGATATTAGTTTGTTATTTTTAAATACTATTTCCTTTCATTTGGATATCAGTTCAAAATCTTCAATACTAGTTTGTTTCAAAATAGATATCAGTACGAAATCCTTGTCATACACGTCCACATGGATACGGGTGATTGTAACACAGAAATACTAGTTCATTTCAAATTTACACAAACTAATATAAACACAACACACACTAATATCAGGTGAAATACGGATAAATATGCACACAAACAAACATAGATAAATATCCCTTATGATACACGTCCACATAAAACCCCTCTTTCAACCCCTAAACCCTAAAGCCGAAACACTAAAACCTAAACCCCAAAACCAAACCCTAAACCGAGACACTAAACCCTAAATTATTGTAATCAGTTTCAGGTAGTTAAGTTATTTTGGGGTTTGGTAAACATTAGTTTAATGATAGATATTGGGTTGTTGAAGACTGGATACTCATTTTATTAATGACGTATACGAATTATGACCATACCAAATACAAATTCATTTCAACAACAATACAAACTAATAATAACACAACACAGACGAATATAGGGTGAAACACAGATAAATATCCACACAAACGAACATAGATAATATCCCTTGTGATACACGTCCCCATGGAAACCCTTCTTTCATCCCCTAAACCCTGAACACTAAGTCCTTAACTCTAAACCCTAAACCTCAAAACTGAACCCTAAACCCTAAATTGGTGTAATCAGTTTCGGGTAGTTAAGCTATTTTGGGGTTTGGTAAACATTAGTTAATTATATATACTGGGTTGTTGTCTTGTTGAAGACTGGATACTCATTTTATTCATGACGGATACGACTTATGACCACTCTGAATCTAATTCATTTCAACAATGATACAAACTAATATCGACACAATACAGACTAATATCTGCTAAAACATAGATAAATATCCACACAAACAAACATAGACAAATATCCCTTGTGATACACGTCCACATAGAAACCCTTCTTTCAACCCCTAAATCCTATTCCCTAAACCCTGAACACTAAGTCCTAAACTCTAAACCCAAAACCCCAAAGCCGAACCCTAAACACGAACACTAAACCCTAAATTGGTGTAATCAGTTTCGGGTAGTTTAGTTATTTTGGGGTTGTTAAACATTAGCTTAATGGTTGATACAATGATAGATACTAGTTTGCTTCACAATGGATACTAGTTTTACAAATGGTGGATACGTGTTTTGTCAACACGAAATACTAGTTCATTTCAACAATGATAGAAACTAATATCAATACAACACAGACTAATATCGTGTGATATACAGATAAATATCCACACAAAAAAACATACATAAATACCACATACTAATATCCGACCATGAAGAAATACATATCTGATGTAACCAAAAGACATATCCCTACAACACATACTAATATCCGAACATGAAGAAATGCATATCCGATGTAACCAAAAGACATATCCCTACAACACATACTAATATCCAACCATCATAGAGTAATATCTTACCAGAATGTAATAATATCCAACAACCACAAACTAATATCCATGCACCCTACATTGTGTTCATAACCATTTCAGCAATGTCGTCTTCCAAGTTACTTAGGTGGCCATCTTGTTGAGTATCGGTGTCCTACGTGAGCACTTTTAGTGATTTCAGTCTCTTACCATAGACGATCTTCTTTCGACGGTTTTTTTCTCTCATTCTTGGGCTGGTAACGTTCCTTGTTGTGTCTCTTTGGATTACTCTTCTCCTTCAGAGACAAACCACTTATCGATACAGAACGTCCTACAATTTTAGTGACTTCAGTAATGCGTGCAATGATATTAACTTCTAACAATTTGCAAATCATATTCGATACACTTACCGTCCTCGCTAGTTATAGTCTTTGACAATGCCTTGTTAGCCTACTTGCACACATTCTTCAGTGCTCTCGTCCGCTTGTTGTACACTTTGTCATTGGCTATTTACATATTCGTTACGAGTTGATTCAACATTGTAGTGGCTTCTCAGTACCTCATTGCTATACCTCATTTTCCATCATCATTCTCAATGCTAGCTGAAGGACCAACTAAAGCATCAACACCAACAACATCTTTCCTTCTCACCTCGAACGTCCATCGCTTGAATATGTAATGCTCTTGAATAGTTATAATACTAGAACCCAAAAATATCCAAGCATTCGCATCACCTTAATCATATGGCAGCACACCCTGAAAGTTTTGAACATCCTGCATTCGCATACCAGTGTCGTCGTAGAAATATCGACGAGAACAACAAATTCATTGCTACGCTCACCGTCCTCTCTATCTTATATGTAAGGTAGCCAATGAGGCCGTCATCACTAGCATGTGGGTGCGACTCAATTTGATGGGATTCAGTTTCCAGATACTGCTCTTGTATCCGAATTAAGATGTTAGAAGTGAAGATCTTGGCAGCATGTTGGAGGATTGACATTTTAGCCTACAATATATAAGGCCCGATTGTTTCCCATTGTAGTCTGACTCACTCTCTTTGCGCCTTTTGTCAGCCAACAAACTACAGTCCAGACATCACCTAATATCCGCCAAACACACAATAATATTCAACCTTCACGTACTAATATCAACACATCACAGGTGAATATCCCAAAAGGGCAAAGTAATATCCAAAAAGGGCAAAGTAGTATTCGGATCATGTACCAGGTAAAGTGGATGAAAAACTGGTTGAAATCATGTCTCGGTTTCAAGAAAAGTCGCACTTGTGCAATGCACGACTCGCTAGCTTGTGTAGTCAACATCCCCGCAATGAATTGATCTCTAAGATATAAGGAACATCATTAATGCTCCATGCTTGGTCAAACTCGGCCTCACTGTCGATGTATTAGAAAAGTAAAGCAAGATGATTTTTGAACTTATGCAAAATACATTGTCCTTACGAAGATGCTTCTTCTCATTCATCAGGATGTGTTAATTACCGAGGGCATGAAACACAGTAGGCCACTCCTTTCTAAAGGCAACTGCCATACCGACATCCTAATTGGTAAAGATGTTCACTGGGAGATTCCTCTTCATGCACCGACTAAATTCTTCAAACAACAATTCAAAAGAAGGAGTTTTCTCGTCGTATAACAAACAAGCCCCGAACACGCAAGTTTTTCGGTGGTGATTGAAACCTACAAAAATCCATGCGAAAAACAACCATTAAAGACAATGCATAACCGAAAGAGTGTCCAAAAAGTCAAGGGAATTAGGTGATTCACATGCCCAATGGACGAAATGTTTATTGGTTCGGAAGGTCGTGTTGAAAGAGTTTGAGTCTCTGAAAAATGCCCAATTTCACGCATCCTATTGTCTGCCCAAAAAATATTGACAACTTTCTCATCGCAATCTACATGTGTACCCCCTTGCAATCTTCCAAAAATTGACCCAGAATAAATCCGCCCAAATCGGTGCTTAATAGACTTCATTATCGGTGGAGAATAGCATCGGCCTGATTCTGTGATCTGTAGCCTCCAGAATCGAATGAAAATGGCATTTCGGAAAATTCGTCCAAAATCTGTGATGTTACCCCTTTGCAATCTGCAAAAAATTGACCCGGAGTAAATCCGCACAAATCGGTTCTTAATTAGACTTAACCATCGTTGAAGAATAGTCACAGGCCAAATCTGTGATCTGTATCCTTCAAAATCCAAAGGAAATGGCCTTTCGACACCCACGAAATTACGAAGAGGCCATCTGAAAATATATTGGCCCAAATCAGTGCTTAATGGACTTATCATCCGTGGAGAATAGGATCAATAGACTTTATTATCGATGGAGAATAGCCTCGGCCTGATTCCGTGATCTGTAGCTTCCTGAATCGAAAAATAGCATTTTGGAAAAATCGCCCAAAATCTGTGATGGTACCCACTTGCAATCTTCCAAAATTTGACCCGAAATAAATCCGCAAAAATTGGTGCTAAATGGACTTAATCATCGTTGAAGAATAGCCACAGACCTAATCCGTGATCTGTAGCCTTCAAAATCCAAAAGAAATGGCCTTTCGACGCCCACCAAATTACGAAAAATGTCATCAGAAAATAAATTGGCCCAAATCGGTTCTTAATGGACTTAATCATCGTTGAAGAATAGCCTCAGGGCGAATCCGTGATCTGTAACCTTCAAAATTCTAAGAAAACGGTCTTTCGACGCCCACAAAATTACGAAAATGTCATCCGAAAATAAATTGGCCCAAATCAGTGCTTAATGGACTTATCATCCGTGGAGAATAGGATCAATTGACTTCATTATCGGTAGAGAATAGCCTCGGCCTGATTCTGTGATCTGTAGCCTCCAGAATCAAAAGAAAATAGCATTTCGGAAAAATTGCCCAAAATCTGTGATGTTACCCCTTTGCAATCTGCCAAAAATTGACCTGGAATATATCCGCCCAAATCGATGCTTAATAGACTTAATCATCGTTGAAGAATAGCCTCAGGCCGAATCCGTGATCTGTAGCCTTCAAAATCCAAATAAAATGGCCTTTCGGCGCCAACAAAATTACGAAATTGTCATTCAAAAAATAAATTGGCCCAAATTGGTATTCAATGGACTTATCATCCGCGGATAATAGGATAAATAAACTTCATTCTCAGTGGAGAATAGCCTCGTCATGTTTCCATGATCTGTAGCCTCTAGAATCGAAAGAAATTGGCTTTTCGAAAAAAATCGCACAAAATCTGTAATGGTACCACTTTGCAATCTGCCAAAAATTGACCTGGAATAAATCCGCCCAAATTGGTGCTTAATGGACTTAATCATCATTGAAGAATAGCCTCAGGCCGAATCCGTGATCTGGAGCCTTCAAAATCTAAAGAAATGGCCTTTCGACGCCCACAAAATTATGAAAATGCCATCCGAAAATAAATTGGCCCAAATCTGTGTTTAATGGACTTATCAACCATGGAAAATAGGATCAATAGACTTCATTATCGGCGGAGAATAGCCTCGGCATGATTCCGTGATCTGTAGCATCCAGAATCGAAAGAAAATGGCATTTCGGAAAAATTGCCAAAAATCTGTGATGCTACCCCTTTGCA